ATAAGAACAAAAGAAAAACTGAAGGAACAAACAGCAGCAGAATCACAGAGCCCAAGAATGGACTAACAGTTACCAAAGGGAAAGAGACTGGGGAGAATGGGAGGGTAGGGAGGGATAAGGGTGGGGAAGAAGAAAGGGGGAATTATGATTAGCATGTATAATGTGGGGTGTGGGGGAAAGGGGAGGGCTTTGCAACACAGAGAAGACAAGCAGTGATTCTAAAACATCTTACTAAGCTGATGGACAGTGACTGTAATGGGGTTTGTGGGGGGGACTTGGGGTATGGGAAAGCCTAGTAAATATGAAAAAAAAAAAAATTTCATGGTGCTTGACTTTACAATATGAGGTGATTCTGAAAAACTTTTTTTCCCCCTAACAACCATATGGCACTCACCTCTCTTCAAAATGCTAAGGAGGTATTGCTAAGACAAAAAAGTTTCCAGAACTAACACTAGCTGTTTCAGCAAGAGAGTTCACTGACATCAGATGGGTTCGAATTAAACTTACAGGCTCTCATTTGCAAGAGGTAAATACAAACAACTTCTTAAAATGAACAACTGAAAAAGTCAGCAAAGATATTTTCAGGGGTATTAATATACAGAAAATAAGGTATACAAATGCTAATGAATTTAAGTTTTAAGACAGTTTGTGGTAAAAACAATGCATATGTGCTAAGCGAAAATTTACCAGATTAAGAATAAGGAACCTTCAATTCATATTTAAATGTACATATACATTAGTGAGATTTAGCCATGCTGTAAAGCCCACAAATAAAACCACTTACAGAATATGTTTTATAATAGTTTAATATTATGCTTAATGTTTAAAAAAATAATTTTTGTAATTTAATTTTTATGATTTCTTATATTATTATGAGATGAAATGGAATGAAAGAAATACAATGGAATCCCTAAACACTTCCTCCATAGCTTAATTTAACTGTTGTTCAGAGGCAATAATATTCTTAAGGTGGGTGTCATATTATTAACTAAAATCAGGTATAATCCAAAATCCAAGTCTCCTGATATGGCTGCAATTCACATAAATTGTTCAACAGATACATCCAATTAAAAACAGAACCAAGTATTTTCTGTTTTTGAAATTCTGAATTACTTCTTTCTGAGAGAATATAAGATGTCATTCTAAGAAAAATATTTCCTTTAATATTGATGGAAACAAAGAAAGCCCACATTTAAAAAATTTACAAAGAGCTATTTTTAAATATTATTGTAGAACCTTGAACGAGATCGTGAATGTGTTCTTGATCTTGAGCGAACAGCCACTTTCTTTGCTTCTTGTTCAAAGATCTCCTCTTCTACTCCATCTTGTCCTTCATCTATATCCATATCCTTGCAAGTCCAAAGAACAGCAAACAAACAAAATGCTTGGTTGAGATTCAGTATATATTGACAATTCTACCTTACAAAGTGTTCACCATAGTAACATTAATATCTAATAACAAAATGGTTAGAGTGTGGTGCTTCTGTGTCAGAGAAAAACTCAGGACATTACTATAATTTTACATAAAATAATCATATTTTATATTTTTCTCTAATTAATTTTAGGAATTTATAACCCAAAAAACATTTAGTTTTTACCTGTTGCTGAATATCTATGGAATCATCCAAATTTGCTTCAGGTTCAAGGAAATGCTGTTGACTGCTCCCTTGTGATGGGGATGCAGAATGCTCTGATCCAAATGTTCCTTCTTGGCTGTCCTGAGGGGTTGCCTATTAGGAATATATGTACAAACACACAACATTGAGAAATAATAAATATTATTACAAATGAAAATTTAATCACTCAAACACCACAGTTAAGTTTTTAAAAAGGAGCCCAGAGAAAAAGAAATCCCATTTTAAATCTTTTATAATCAAGCTAAAATTATACTTATACAAATCCAAGTTTAAAAGAATGGAACAGCTCCATAAGAGAGAAGAGACTAAAATATTAGAATAGAATGTTAAGATCAAGTAGGTCTTCAAGTAAGATGTTAACTGTGGAAAATATAAACTATCAAGAATTTAAATAAAGGGATTATGTAATGAATGATATATAAGGATACTAAGTTAAGTAAGTCTAGAATTTTATTGGCAGTTAGTATGTTTACAAAATGATATAAATGAAAGTCCAAAAAAGTATTTTATATTAAAGAACTAAATCACATATTACATGTACAGAAGCAAAATGAAGCTCAAAATGCCAATATCAAAATCACTGATATAGCAAGACAGTTCTCAACTCGGGCCTTACTCAATTTCCATCTCTAGGAATTCACAAAATAAAAGTAGGAAGTACTCTGAGATATGCAAAACATTTCAGCATCTAATTAAAGATAGGCAATGAAAGCTAATTAAAGGAACATTTAAAACTTGAACCCTTTTTTTTCCTGGGATGAGAATTAGAGCAACTTAATATAGTGACACAGCTTACAGGATGCTAATGAGTATGAACCTGATTTAGCAGTTTTACATATACTCTGATGTTAGCTAAAAATGAGAAAACTGTTTATATGAAAAACATGTCTCCCTACATAAACTCTCCTAAAACATATCTCACAGGTGTGGAAGGTTAATAAAGCCTGGTGGTACACAAGCTGGAAACTATGGTAGTAATTAACAGAAAAGAGCAACTCAAAACTACTATTCCATTCCTACAAACTCTGTGATTGTGAACAAGTTACCTGAACTCTGAATTTCAGTCTCCCTATCTATAAAAGGAATACTAGCATAGTGACTACAGACAACATTATTGTATTCTAACTTCAAAGTTGCTAAGAGATTAGATCTTAATTGTTACCACCACAAAAAAAATGACTGTGGGACATAATAAGATGTGTGAACTAACACTACAGTGGTACCCAACTGCAATGAAGAAATGTACCAAATCAACATGTTGTACAGCTTAAAGTTAGTTACACAATGTATATGTCAGTTTTATCTCAAAAATTTTTTTAAAATTACTTACTCTAATGATTTAAACTGAAAGAGAAAGCAGCATAAAAATTAAGAGCCAAAAAGAGCATTAGAGAGCTGTTCCAAGTCTATTCATGAAGGAACAGGTCTCCCAAGGACAAATAACATTTTCAGGGTTTAGAAATAAATTAAAACTAAAGCCAGCATTAGAAGAGACTTCTGTTAGTTAAATACCTGTTCCACACCACAATATTGACCAATATCTTATTAAATAAGCATACTCTTCTAGAACAAATCAATGTATTTTAAGCATAGTCCTGATGTCGACATATGCCTTTAAAACAGTACAGTAACAAAAAAATGTTTAATAATAGAAGATAATTTTTCAACTTTATCCTAGCCCTACTATATATATATGTATTTATAATACCATATATATATATTCATATGAATACATATATTTATTCCTTACATCATTTATTTCTTACTTAATCAGACACCTTAAGTATTGTCTCTACGTAATCCCCCTCCTTGTTTCTCAACCCTTAATTTTCTATTTAATAATTAACCATTGGTACAACCACCAGGATCCATGGCAACCATTTTTAGTTTTTGAAATTCTTTTTGGAGCAGTTAGTTTACCTATTTAAAAATACTGAGTGTCTTACTCTTTTTTTAGAGGTCTTTTGAAAAACAAAGAGAAAGTTTTCTATAAAAATTCAACCAGAATTTACCCTATTATCTTGCAATTACCACTACGTCCATTGGACCCTTTACTATACATAAGGTAATTACAAGATCTTTAAGGTTTTATTTTCCTATATATTGAAATATTTTGCTATTTTATCATCCTAAGAATCATTCATATTCATCAATTTTTCCCAATTATATAAAAAAACTAAAATAATAGAAGAAAAAGCAATGGAATTGTTGAAAAGGGAAATTAACAGTAAAATAAATCATCACTCAGTTTTACTGTATTACTAAAAATACTGCATTATATTTCAAGAAGGTATAAATAAAATTGGGACAACATCTTTGTGGTCTGCTTTTAGCTTTTTGGACCACTGTTGAGTATTCAGATTTTTCATCTTCTGTCCATAATGGCAAAGAGAAGAAAACTAACAAAACACATTTCACAATTACTAGACAAAGTTGTTGAATACAAATAGCATTCTAGACTCTAATGATGATGGTGAAAATTTAATATATAAGAGAAATATCAGACTATCAGTTTTTAGATGACCATATCATAAATATATTTCTCAATGAAAGAAAAAGACATTTCTGAGAACAAAAATGGGGTATTTTCATCCAATTAGCCACTCAACAGGAAGGACTTTATCTTGCAGTGCTTTGTAATAAGAACCTGGATTTTTCTGTTTTGCTAAAAGAACATGTGACATTTGAATTTGCCACAAAAAGGTCTGCTACATTTCTTTTATTTTTTTAATTTCTACCCCTTTAGTCTTACATCAGTATGTTATCTGTAAGATGGCTTTAAAATATATATTTAACACAAAGGACCCACTGGACCCTTTTGGCAAATAACTGTTTTTTCTGATACAAGTATACATCCTTAGTCTATCTCCTGGTATATATCTCTAGTTTTACCAATGATGTCTTCATGTAAAACATCAATAAAAACACTGAAAACTAAACAGAAGACAAGGATAACAGCAGTTAGCAGAGTCTTCTCTCAAAGTTAGATTAACTCATTAAGTGTCACATTTGATTATAAACCCACGTTCCTCTATTTTTTTCTGTATAAGTGATAGGAAAGACTTTGTCAAAGGCCTTACTGCAATCCATACATGTTATGTTATGCCTACAGCATTTCCTTCATTTATGAGTCTAATAATACAACCTCAGTACACCTGAAATGCAATTTATTTGGGCCTCATTTAAACATTAATTCATTTAAAGCAACTCAAGGCTCTTAATACTGAACCCATTTTAGGTTTTTTCATGTTCAATTCTACTTCTATTATATTCTCCTATGTAACAAAAAAAAATACTGAATCATCAAAACAAGTCACTTATTTCTGATATACCCTGACAGCTCTTCATTAAGTGGCCTGAATCTTCTATAATCTTTTTATTCCTAACATTCTTTTAAAAGCTTTAAAATAGTCTTACCATTTTCATCATTAACATTTCATTTTGAGCTATAGTTCTACTGACATCTTGTGAATATCCTAATAAAACAATTATCAAAATCATGAACTCAAACTTATTCAAGACAATAGAAATCATTCCTCTTAAAACATAATTACTAGTTCCTTCACAATTCAGCCATTCTCTGAAAAATGCCCCTATTTTTCATCGTTTGTCTAGAGTTAGGAATGAACAGATCCAAGGGTGATCTGGCTGCAAAAGTGGATGGCACTAGCAATTCTATTCTCTCTAAGATACTTTAACAACCCTTAGGTAGCCATCCTGAGCTATGGTAAACAAAAATGCTTAATTTTTCTGCATACTTCACCCAATCTTAAATACTCTAAAGTAACTGATTTGGTAGAGCCAGTTACGCAAGTTATTGAATTTAACTGTTATTCTGTTGATATACTTTCTGATTGCAAACTTGTCATATTTAAACACTATCCACTTTGTACATTAGAAATTTTTTTTTCTTCACCACTCTTTCTGAACAATGCAGTTTTAAAAAAACATTTATTCCTTTCAAAGGGTTATTACAGTACCCTCTAAAATTCTGAAAATAATGTATATAACAATTACCTAAGCCCAGTGTTTTGTTTTTTTTTTTGGTTGGTGAGGTTCTTAAGACAGAATCACTTTCTCAAGTTTCTAGTAATTTTTACCTTAATAATTTGGTGTCATAAGTACTTGTCAAGAGTGCTACCTTGATTTTACTGCTTCTGCTAAACATTGTGAAATGAAACTGAAACTAAGGCAATTCAAAAGTGTCACATTTATAGTTGAACAAATCTCTTTTGGATAAACTCTTTCATCACTACTACCTATTGCCTCTGCAACAGCTCTGTGATATCACTGACAACCTGTTTCTTTTCCTTGAGTTACAGCTTGTATTTTTCTTTAGGCAGCATCAAAATGTTTTTTACTGTGCTCTCTTCAAGTTCCTGAATTATGTTTGCCTGACATAAAATATCTAACCACTTCTATCTGAATTGTTTCTTCAAAACAAGGTATGGTACTCCATTCTCATAATTCCAGGTACAAATTCCACTCTAATATATATCATTAATACCTATTTTATATTTATTACATGCATTCAAAGGACAGGTTCACTGTCTAAAGCTTGCTATCCCTTCAATCTAAAGCAACTTTTCTTCTCTTCCCTATTCCCATAGTCCTACAGTTGTACCTCAATTACCTAAACGAGAATCCTGCCCTGTGTTCATACAGATGCATGCATTCCATTAAAGAAGTTACTTGAGGCCGATGCTTTTCCATTCATTTCCACATACAACATTTGTCTAACAATACACTACTCAGACTTTAAAAATATTTGCTATATTGCATTAAATTCATTAGCACCAAAAAGTTTTGGATAGTAGGAAGAAGTGTGAGGCAGTTTTCAAACACCCATATTCCAAACAGTTTGCATAAGGAAGTATTTCTCACACAAAGCAAAAATAGGCCTTATCATGGATTCAATCCTGGTTTACAACTGACACACTTTCAATTGTAAGGTGATTTTTCTTCACATTTTATCATCCCTGAAATTTATAAGATTCTTACAACTCCATGGGATGTTATATTTCAGAAGTAATTAAAAATTCTTAGCCATATGCAAAATAATGGTGTGTCTTCAGACTAATGACATGTTATTAACTGTATACTTCTGCATTAGATGCTTAATTCTAAGCTTCAATTTCCTATGGTATCAAATAGGAGTCAAAATGCCTCTTATAAGCATTAAATGTAATTAAAGTTCTTGCCACATGGTAAGACTAAATGTAGCAATGTTTTGTCACCACCACCATCAACAATAGCAAAATCATCATTATCTTGCTTGATAGGAAACTGAGTGGAGAGAAAAGCACAAGACTTAATACTGAATACTGAATCAAGCTGTAATACTGAAACACCATCTGCCTTCTGTTCTCTATTTTCAGTATACTGAAATTAATTTCTGTAGTGCTCAACAGACTTATAAGTTGCCCAGAACATTTTGATTATAGGAAAAAAAATACCCATAAAGGTTCTGAAAAGAATGATCTTCCTAATAATAAACAGTTGAAGAAAAATCACCAAACTTGGGAATACACCAATTTATATACTATGGATTGCAATAACTCTAAAGACCACAAGGTGGAGTTATAAACCTTTTGAGGCTGTTGTTCCAGGAGTTGTTGTCTAAGATGTTCAAGGTTCTGCTGCTGTAGCTGTTCTGCTATCTGATGAAAAATGGAATTGTTCACAGAGTCTGAAACATGAGAACTAAAAGGAAAAACAAGTGGAAATATATTTTAAAATCCAGTAAAGATAATATGAAAATAATAGTCAACCTCCTCAAACATCAGTTAAATGACTCTAATGTAATGTTTACTTTTTAACTATTAACACAGAAAATGGAATACCTCAGAAAAATTTTTAAATGTTCAAAGAGAAATATACTCTTTAATAGTGTTTCAGTAAATGAGTAACGTGTTAGAGATAATCTAATGAAAATGTGGAATTACTGTCTCACACTTTAAATACATATAAATTATTTTTTATATTTAGAGCATTCTAAGAAAACCTTAATAAAACCTAAAAACAGTTAAAACTATTTAAAAATTGTCACTTAAACTTCTCTATGAGAGAGTGGATGAAATAGTCTATCAATCAGTACATGTGAAATCTACAGGTATAACTGACCATAAACTTATTAAACTAATCTGCTTTCTTTAGAAAAGCATCATACTATTAAGTATGTTTAGGTAAAAGGAAATAATAATTAACTATCCTCTGGGAAACTCACACCTGGAATACACCTGGAATTCTGGGTGCCACACAAGGTTAAGACATGAACAAAAAAAGAGGGCATCCCAAAAAGGGAGCTATCAGGATGGTGAGAAGTCTTGAAACAGTTGGAAAATAAGTGTACTTCGTCTGGAGCAAATAAACCTAGCAGGAAGAATGATACCTAACTTCAAACATTCAAAGACTATGTCTCAACATAATGCAGCAAGTTAGTTTCCTTGCTTCAGAGAGCAAAACTGATCAGTGTGTAGAAATTAAATAAAACAGGATTCAGTAAAAAAAAAGAACATACAATAACAACTACTTAACTTCTCATCATAGAAGGCACTAAAATAGTGGAAAATACCCTAACAGGACTTCTAAAGAAGATTCTCACATGGCTCAGGACACTGATCTACACGATCTCAAATGTTGCTTCTAGTTTTACTATTCACAATCTAAAACATTAGTTTTTCATTTTTCAAGTAGACTTTATCAAAAGGACACGTGTGCATCTTTACATTAAACAATAAAACATATTTTAAAATATATTACCCTAACACCTGTAAAACTAGTAATGTCTGTTTAAAAATAAGATTCCCAGAGACTTTTGCCATTCATCATCCTTCCATCTCTCACCTTCATGCCCCCACCCTCTAATATCCTCCACCCCACTGGTGCTTTCACAAACCTTCAAAGAACCTGGGGAATTGTTTGGAGGGAAAGAATCATTGACCTAAGCAAAAATACACAACCCATTTCTTTAAAAAACAAAATCCTTACAACCCTAATCTTTACTTCTGATCACTCTGATAGACTCCTCAAATATGGAATACTTCCTACAAGTCATCATTGGCAATAGAAGCAAGTTTCCTTATTATTTCAAAAATTCTTACTATTGAGTTAAGTAACTTAAAACCTAGTTTAGATATTGAAAATACTATAACTAGGCTTATCAATATTTATCAATTCTCCTATAAAGAACTTTATTTGCAATTCTCCTATAAAGAACTTCAACTATTTGCAAAAATCTGAGAGAAAATCAAAATAACATAGGTAAGAAAGCAGCAACTCTACCATCCTTCTGCAATGTTAGAGCTCCACAGCCTGAAGTGATAAATCAACTTACTCCAAGTATACTTAGTAGTGCAGATGCCAGCATCCCATCCGATATTTATAAAATAGCAGAAAAAAATTATAAAGAAAAACATAACAATTCTTACAGTTGAGAAGTTGTGATTTCCTTTTTGGTTTCTTCATTATGCTCAGAATCTTCCCCAAAGTCAAATCTATCCATCAACTTCTAAGTGGAAAAAAAAGAAGAGTGAGAAAAAGAGACAAAATTAAAAAGTTCTTCACATAAATATTAAATTTTACAAATGCTATTGTAAAGGCCAATTATGTCTCATTTATGTGTCACTTAATATAAATGTTTTATATCATTTTGTGTTATACTTTAATATTTTATGAGTGGATCTTTTCTTTAAAGTATATTGCCTTATGTAACAAGACAAAGCATAATACACAAAGGATATATACTAATGCAATTTTACAGAGAATTGGGATTAAAATAATCTGCCAAAGGAAAAAAAGCTTGGTAAGAAACATATAGGACTATAATCAACAGATCTGTGCCTAGTAAAGTTCTTTTCTTAGAATGCGCACTACCTTCTGAATTATCAATTTAAAGGTTTTTTATGTGGTCTAGCTAGAGTCAACTAAACTAGCAGCTGATGGCTAAAAAAAGCTTCAGCAGTAACTATTTATTTTCTTGTAAATATAACAGTAGCAGAAGTAAAATACAGTTAACACTTCCAAGATATTTTAATATTCCCATAAATAACAAGAATACTAAGAATATCATATAATAAATGATATACAAGATTTTCAATTTTAAAAACACTACCCTTCATAGTTAGGCCTCAATTTATCATAATATTATAGTGACAACTCAGGGAGAAGTTTTCCTTTGAAATCTCCATATATTGGACAATTTTAATTTTAGCACATTAAACTTTTAGAACACAGAATACAATAATTAATGTTTCTGACAACTGAAATGATAAAATTCAGAAAATAATCATTTGCCTCAATAGTGAATACATAATTTTATTGTCCAGTTTTCTTTAGTAAAAAGAAAATCATCTAATTGCTCCAAGTGGAATTTTAAAGTTAGTTTCTTTCAGAAGTTTGAATCTTTAGCAAAATTTATGTTTGTACAGTGGTATTAAAATAGTTCTGTGGTAAAATATAACTGACAGAATTAGAGTGCACATGATAATACCTAAAATTTAATACTTCACAGATGTGGTATCTCAATTTCTACCTTGTTAAAGGACACTCCCTGTTCTAAGGGAGTGAGGGTGTTGGCAGCGGCTGCAGCAGCTGTGAGCTGTGCCGTGAGAGCCTGCAGCTGCACAACAAGACCAGCATCCAGGGCCTGCAGGATGGAAGGCTGAGGCTTCTGCTGCTGTATCTGCAACGTCTGTATTAACTGCTGAAGCTGGAGGAGGAAAAAAGGAAAATTATTACAAACAGATGCTGGGTTTTATCTGTAAGAATGCCCATCTAAAATTTTTAGTCAATAAAATTTATTTTTCTACTGTCTTTAGAAATCAAGAAAAAATATATATAAACTCAAAACAAGTTAATTTTTTTAAAGAAAAGGCCATATTTAACACAATCCTTGTCAGTTTGTATTGTTGCTGGGAAGTCAGTGAACTTTAGACAAAATAATTTGGTCAGATCATGACAAACAGAGAACTCATCGTAAGCAGACTGATTTTTTCTCCACTAGGCTTTCATCTCTTCAAGCACCTCCTTAATCTCTGTAAAAGTACAAGCACTGACAGCAACTGCTTTTGCATCTGTTGTCACATCTGATAGCACATTTCCTGAAAGCAGGAAAGTGAGTAAGAAATCAGTCCCTGGGTGCATCTACAACTAAGGAAATTAAGGTGAACAGTGTCAACAAAAGCTGAAACAAGAAGGGAACCCTTGTTCCCACTATTCACCCACTCTCTCAAAAAACAGCAACAACAGTTAAGATCCTGAAGATATTTCATAAGTAAACCCTTTGTACATCCTAGAATTAATACTTTACTAATCAAGATCTAAGCCTGAGTTACATCTGAAATTATTTTTTTTTGAAGAGAAAAAAATAAAGCAGTTACTCCTAAAACAAGACATTTGTACTCTTCTGTTCAACTTACAGTGGAAGAAGGTACAAACACCCTGCAAGATGACACCAAGTAAGATCCTTTCATCTAAAATAGCAACATTAAGAAACTAGAGCCAAGAAAATCAAAATAACATAGGTAAGAAAGCAGCAACTCTACCATCCTTCTGCAATGTTAGAGCTCCACAGCCTGAAGTGATAAATCAACTTACTCCAAGTATACTTAGTAGTGCAGATGCCAGCATCCCATCCGATATTTATAAAATAGCAGAAACAAATTATAAAGAAAAACATAACAATTCTTACAGTTGAGAAGTTGTGATTTCCTTTTTGGTTTCTTCATTATGCTCAGAATCTTCCCCAAAGTCAAATCTATCCATCAACTTCTAAGTGGAAAAAAAAGAAGAGTGAGAAAAAGAGACAAAATTAAAAAGTTCTTCACATAAATATTAAATTTTACAAATGCTATTGTAAAGGCCAATTATGTCTCATTTATGTGTCACTTAATATAAATGTTTTATATCATTTTGTGTTATACTTTAATATTTTATGAGTGGATCTTTTCTTTAAAGTATATTGCCTTATGTAACAAGACAAAGCATAATACACAAAGGATATATACTAATGCAATTTTACAGAGAATTGGGATTAAAATAATCTGCCAAAGGAAAAAAAGCTTGGTAAGAAACATATAGGACTATAATCAACAGATCTGTGCCTAGTAAAGTTCTTTTCTTAGAATGCGCACTACCTTCTGAATTATCAATTTAAAGGTTTTTTATGTGGTCTAGCTAGAGTCAACTAAACTAGCAGCTGATGGCTAAAAAAAGCTTCAGCAGTAACTATTTATTTTCTTGTAAATATAACAGTAGCAGAAGTAAAATACAGTTAACACTTCCAAGATATTTTAATATTCCCATAAATAACAAGAATACTAAGAATATCATATAATAAATGATATACAAGATTTTCAATTTTAAAAACACTACCCTTCATAGTTAGGCCTCAATTTATCATAATATTATAGTGACAACTCAGGGAGAAGTTTTCCTTTGAAATCTCCATATATTGGACAATTTTAATTTTAGCACATTAAACTTTTAGAACACAGAATACAATAATTAATGTTTCTGACAACTGAAATGATAAAATTCAGAAAATAATCATTTGCCTCAATAGTGAATACATAATTTTATTGTCCAGTTTTCTTTAGTAAAAAGAAAATCATCTAATTGCTCCAAGTGGAATTTTAAAGTTAGTTTCTTTCAGAAGTTTGAATCTTTAGCAAAATTTATGTTTGTACAGTGGTATTAAAATAGTTCTGTGGTAAAATATAACTGACAGAATTAGAGTGCACATGATAATACCTAAAATTTAATACTTCACAGATGTGGTATCTCAATTTCTACCTTGTTAAAGGACACTCCCTGTTCTAAGGGAGTGAGGGTGTTGGCAGCGGCTGCAGCAGCTGTGAGCTGTGCCGTGAGAGCCTGCAGCTGCACAACAAGACCAGCATCCAGGGCCTGCAGGATGGAAGGCTGAGGCTTCTGCTGCTGTATCTGCAACGTCTGTATTAACTGCTGAAGCTGGAGGAGGAAAAAAGGAAAATTATTACAAACAGATGCTGGGTTTTATCTGTAAGAATGCCCATCTAAAATTTTTAGTCAATAAAATTTATTTTTCTACTGTCTTTAGAAATCAAGAAAAAATATATATAAACTCAAAACAAGTTAATTTTTTTAAAGAAAAGGCCATATTTAACACAATCCTTGTCAGTTTGTATTGTTGCTGGGAAGTCAGTGAACTTTAGACAAAATAATTTGGTCAGATCATGACAAACAGAGAACTCATCGTAAGCAGACTGATTTTTTCTCCACTAGGCTTTCATCTCTTCAAGCACCTCCTTAATCTCTGTAAAAGTACAAGCACTGACAGCAACTGCTTTTGCATCTGTTGTCACATCTGATAGCACATTTCCTGAAAGCAGGAAAGTGAGTAAGAAATCAGTCCCTGGGTGCATCTACAACTAAGGAAATTAAGGTGAACAGTGTCAACAAAAGCTGAAACAAGAAGGGAACCCTTGTTCCCACTATTCACCCACTCTCTCAAAAAACAGCAACAACAGTTAAGATCCTGAAGATATTTCATAAGTAAACCCTTTGTACATCCTAGAATTAATACTTTACTAATCAAGATCTAAGCCTGAGTTACATCTGAAATTATTTTTTTTTGAAGAGAAAAAAATAAAGCAGTTACTCCTAAAACAAGACATTTGTACTCTTCTGTTCAACTTACAGTGGAAGAAGGTACAAACACCCTGCAAGATGACACCAAGTAAGATCCTTTCATCTAAAATAGCAACATTAAGAAACTAGAGCCATTTAGTGATCAACTAAATATTTACTACAAACTTATTAGCAATGAAAATAATACAAGAACATATGACAGCTCTGTGAAGCCTAAGAACAAAGCAAAAACTGAAGGAACAAAACAGCAGCAGACTCACAGAACCCAAGAATGGACTAACAGTTACCAAAGGGAAAGGGACTGGAGGTGGCGGAGGGGTGGGAAGGGAGGGAGAAGGGGATTGAGGGGCATTACGAATAGCACACATAATGTAGTGGGGCAGCATGGGGGAAGGCAGTACAGTACAGAGAAGACAAGTAGTGATTTTATAGCATCTTACTACGCTGATGGACAGAGACTGTAATGGGGTATGTGGTGGGGACTTGATAATGGGGGGAATCTAGTAACCACAATGTTGCTCATGTAACTGTATATTAATGATAGCAAAATTTAAAAAATAAGATTAAATTTTTAAAAATTGTACACTAAATATTGTGGCTGAACTCTATGGTATGTGAATTATATCTTAATAAAGCTTTTTTTTAAAGGAAAAAAAAAATGATATGACAGTTGAGTTACTGTACTGAGGAAGTTCCAGAATAGACAGGATGGAGGGAGTATGGGAAGGGGAAAGGGAAAAGGGAAATGACCTATTATTTCTCCCTTACACATTTTAACTGCTCCTTTGACATCCCATTTTTCCCCAGTAGCACTGTTACTCTTTCCATCACCCAGGACCAAACCACTGCAGCGTTCCCTCTACTCTGACTTCATATTCTATTATTACGTGTTAACTCTCTTCGTACTGTTTCTCCTGGAAATCCTTTCTGCCACAAGTATTTATTTTAATAGGTACCTTCTAAAATGAGAACATTTGCTTTATGAATTATCTTTAAATATCATTATCACAAAAATAAAGTTAGTATTTTGGCAATTTTATCTACATCCAAATTGGTTTCCCAACCCTTGCAAAACTGTAGAAACTGGACCCAATCTCAGCCTATAAATGAACTGGTGTTTATATTTTTAGAACTCTAGAATGGTCTTTTTGAGACTGTCCTTCTAGAGAGTCTGCTACCCAACTATTTTGCATATTTTCATTACTTCTCTTCCATTATCACTATTACCAATTACCTCCCTCTCTTTTGACCTCTCTCCTCTCCCATTGATTACTGTTCAGACCATGTGACTTCAGTGTAAAAATCTTTGGCAATTCCTCACTGCTTAGTATATGAATCCTTTATTTCTCAGCCCACCATTTATATCTTTTGAAACCTACACACACACTTAGGTTTACCATTTCAACTCTGTCACTAATAACTTACCTTCACAGGTCATCTTACCCTCCACACAGCTCAACTGTAAAACCTCTTGTGTACCCAACACTTTTAGCTCTGCACATTACTCACTCATGCCACAAAATGTACCGATCACTACCATAACTGAGATGCTGGAGATACAGAAGTGAACAAAATAAAAATCTTTGCCCTTGTACGGCATACACTCCATTAGGAAAAGACAGAATAAACGAAGTAAATAAATTATACTACATAAGAGACTGAAGTAAGTGCTAAGGGAGGCAGGTTACAGAGAAAAGGAGCATGGGATAAAAGGCAAAGTTAGCAGTTTTAAATCACGGTCTGAAGGCCATACTGAGGTGACATTTCAACAAAAACTTAAAGGTGATTGAAACCATAGGAGTATGTGGAAAAGAGAGTTCAGGGAGTTTTATGTACCATTAATTTGATTTCTAAAGGACAGGTTAAGGAAACACAAAGAGAGACAGATACTAAGAATGGGCTATCTTCATATCCTGCCATGACTAGTTTCAAGTTTCAATTTATATGTCACTTCCTCAAAGACACTTTCTCTTGGCTACCCTAATTCTGACCCCTTCCCCAAACCTCATCTCTCTAAAGATTTACCCTCTTTTAAATCACGTATCACCATCCGCATAATGTTTCATGCTTTTTTTTTTCTCTTTTCCCTAAGATAACAAAGACATCTTCTCCAAGACAAAAGACCTCTTCTGTCTCATTACTAGAGTAACAACAGTGCCTAACAATGTTTGGCACAAACTATGTGCTAAATCAGTATTTTGGTGTAAAACAAATTATTTTTATAAAACAATCCTTAATGACATAAAGCTTTTCATGCTAAATTACTGAATGAAAAAAACAAGTTACATACAGAGTACTTACTATAATGTGATCCAATGTTTACAAAATTTTTAGGTGGTACATTATGAAAAAGTACATTAGGAAAATAGAGTTCTAAGTCATTCTCAACATAAAAAAGCTGCTCACCTGCTGGCCTTGAGGACTTTGTAAGATCTGAGCTACAGCTGCAAGTGTATCTGTACTTGTTATCTGAGATACCCATGGATCGGGTAAACCCTGTACCACATTGGCTGGAGTAACAGGCGTCACAGGAGTTCCTTTTAAAAAAAGACATTGCACCCACCTCAATAAATATGTAAGACTTGAAAATGTAGAGAGATTTGCTCTGTCATTTTAATATATACATATTTATATAAATGTTTTTATTGTCTTCATTTTGAAAACCATTACAGAATAATTAGGCTAAAAAATAAAAATACCAAAACAATTTGTGATATTTATCCTCAATTAACTAAACTACTACTTTAAAAATGTCTACAATACTTCCCAGTCATTAAAAATCTTACAAAGACATAAATATTAAAAATATAATCTTTTATGAAAAACTATAAAATAGTATATATAATAAAATTATAAAATAGCATATAAAAATGATCTTTAATCAAAAACACAAGAAAAACTAAATATATACCAAAATACTAATACTTGGATTATGATAACAAATTTTAAATGTCACAAATACCTGAAAATACATGATTTTGAGGTTATTACTAAAGCATTCTAGGCTCTAATAAACAATTTTTTAGGGTTCCTTATAAATATTAAGTTCCCCCAGTATATACTATAAATAACAAGTTGATTTACATGCAAGTTTAAAAGATTAATATAGACAATTTGAATCAGGAAAAACCTAATTGATACAATTTCCCAAAGGTCATCATGTTTCTAGAGATTAAAAAATTCAGCTTTCTAATATTTAAGAAATACAAATATAATTCCTGATTTTATTTTTCCTTCAAAATTCATTTCCCTTCTATTACCTAATGCTAGACAAATTCCCCTGCACCATCAAATTATTATTATATCCTGTGAGTACAGTATTTAGAAAACTGTGAGTACAGTATTTAGAAAACAAATCTCTATCAGAGCAACATACCTGGGGTATTGCTCATGGCAGCGGTAGTACTGGCCAGAACAGGTGTAACGACTGGAGGGGGAATTCCTGCTGCCATATCCAAAAGAGGTTGAATAATCTCACTCTTAAATACATTATTCTTCTGCCATAAATTCAATACTCTCACTATTTTACTCTAGAGGAGAAAGAAAAGTGGAATTTTGATGTTTTGCTTCAAAATAGCACAGTCATTTCACAGAGACTATTCTGGAGTGGATGAGAATACAGTAACAACTTCTGTAATTCTTTCTACCCCCTGAAATTATGTTTCTGTAATTTTGCATTTTCTAATCTTAATGCACTTGAAAATCATGTTTATTCTGACATTCAAGGTAAATGAAAGCTACACTTACAAGAATGGCAACTTCTGCTTCTATGTGACGTCTAATGAGATTAATGGTTATGGCTGGCTGTTGAGGCAATCACCATTCAGCTCAGCACTAAAGTTACATTTACAGTTGATTTTGTTTATCTTTTAAACAAATAAGTAACTTCAAGACAAAGCCCTTATGTGACTTTTTAAATATTTCATTCTAAAAACTAAGGACAGGGGAGGTTATTTCCTTATCTAAGAATTTAACCAAATTCACTTTCTTTCCCAACTGTTCAGCATATAGAAGTCCTGTAAAGAGCCCTAAGAATTAACTACTGACTAAAGTAATGCACTTACTCCATTAACAAAATAATTGAAATGACAGAGATATTAAGTATTAAAAAGGGACTTGTTAAGTTTATAAATTTTGTAATAGTTAAAAATAAGTAATTTTAAGAGTAAAGATCTCATTCATCTTTAAATCCCTTATACTGACAAATTTCAAACTGTATCCAAACTGCATTAAAACACAAAATTTTTCTTCAAATGAAGCATAAGAAAATTATACAAAGAATACTTCATATTTCTGATTTGACTAATTCTCCGTTGTAAGATTAGAAAGTACTTTACATTTTTTTGCTTTATAGAAAAATCGTCTAGTTCCCGAGGATACTCATCATGTACTTCAAAATTAGCCAGTATCTGACAAGTATATTTTATGTATCTAACTACATCAAACAAATAATGCTGCTAGTTATTACAGTATCAATATGCTCTTTCCTACTAGGGTGAAAAAAAAATCCCTATATCCTAAACTCTATTATAACTGAGAAACATTTACTATTATGAAGTCTACAAATTCAAGGCTATTTGTTCATTTTAATTGATAGAAATCCAAGTCCAAATTAGTGAATTTCTATATCAAAATGATTAAGTTATTTCAGAAAATATTTACATAGAAGTTTTAAATGAGTTATTTTAGGTAGAATTCTAAGTTATCTATTTTAAGAATCAATGATAGGTCACTTAAAATTAGAAACATTCTTTTTGCCTGCATAGAAATCAAAGTACCAAAGCAATGTTTAAAAATTTGTCTCAAAAAACATATCCAAGAATAGTTTACAAGGACTACATTAATAAATTTGTCTCTATATCTACCCATTAAAATCTTTTTCTGATTAAAGATTATAGTTATAAGGATAAATCAACTACCTTATCTTGTACTTGAGTTAAAGATTTGTGGTAAGCTTTTAAGTTTTATGATTTTTCCTTACAGCAACCATTAGTCTTCATCTATTCCTAACTTTTCCTACATGATCAATACTGCAGAGCACACTGCATTTCTAAATCAGCATTCAAAATAAGTAACCTTCAAGTAATCTTTGAGCACGTATCAAGATAAACATCTCTTTTTTTATTCTCCCTCAAGGTACAAAGCCTTGTTTTTATATTGTATAAAATACTCAATCAGATCTAGCAGACCTAGTAATATGGTTTCTAGCACTAGTAAAACTCTACCATAACAAAAGTGCTTTGATATGCAGTTATTTTCTTAATTATTGCTTCACAAATCCATTTTGCAGACACTAAACTGGTAAATATCAGCACGGATCAATTAATTAAAATGATGAATTGGTTGCGTATGTGAATAAATAAGCTACTAGTATAATTACCAACGGCTGATTACAGCAGATTCTTTAACACCAACTGCTTGAATAAATTGAAAAGTAGTGACCTGAACTATATCTTTCCACTCTGTTGAAGATAATTTTGAGAACAAAAGGAATATGGATAGTGTAATAACTAAATATTCAAATCCAAAATAACTAAGAGTAAAGCATAATGCAAAATCATAAATTAAGATAATCTAAAGAATATCATTAAGACCAAAAGAGTAATGTATTGACTTAAAAAAAAAAAAAACAGCATCATACCTTGTCATCCCCAGGGCAACGATATAAATTCTGAAAAGTGCTAATGATGTTATTACTAAATCTGGGTGCAAATACATCCTTTTCTTGACCAAACTGATGTCGAGATTGTCGTACAATGGAGTCGATAACATAAAGTCCAGGTACCTTATATTCTGGTTTACACTGATGAAGAAAGAAAAGTGGAAAGGGAAGGAAATGAGAAGGTAAAATTCCTAACAAAGATCATCATAAATCCTATACAAATATACAAAAACACTGTTGAGGTAATAAATACTCAAGCGCTGACTATTCCACACCATCTTTCTCTGGAATGGAACTTTAAAGAATTTATTTTGGCATAAAGTTCTAAAAAAGTACTGTGTAACTGGCTTGAACAAACAACAAAAGGATATAGAAGGTACTATAATAATAAATTTTTTTAATGATTTTGAAAAGTCACATAAAAGGACATAGCAAATTCAGGAAAGAAGAGCTCTAGAAAAAGCATTGCTAATGCACATTAGACTTTATCTAAAACACCTAACAAAAGGGTTTCTGTACCAGTAAGGAACAAATAACAAATTGAGAATTTTAACTCTAAATACACTGAGCCCAAAGTGTCAAAATTTTTCTCAAATACCATACCAATTAGAAAGATAAGACACTACCATTATGATTCTAGGAACTATCCTACGAAAACATCCTACTCCACTGATACATGTTTCTCAACTTTCTTATCCATTACCAAAAATGAGGAATGTATAAGTCTCCTATTTTTTTGCCACAAGCTTTTCTAGTCTATCTAATTAGATAAACACAATGAAGAATCCTTTTATCAAGTGCACTGTTTTCATTGGTCTAATATCCAAAAGCATACGAAAAGCTACTTCCCAAACATATGTTAGTTAAAATGGAACTGTAGCTGTAAAAAGCTGAACTTTTGGGTGTAATTAGGTTAAGTATTCCACCCAAAATAATTTCCTGGAAATCATAATATGGTCCTAGATCACAATTATATTCTTGAAAAACTCTTTTTGGAAATCTGAGTTCCAGTGTGAAAAGAATCCTCCAACCACCCCACAACAGATACATACAATGTTTCTAATGAGATTTTCAGCTGAGATTAGTGCCGTCATCACAAAAAGGCTACATCATACCAAATTTTCAGTTACACCATCCTCAAACTACATACCAGTAATTTCCAATGTCTTGTGCTGCAGAGAAACAGCCCTTTTTGGGAGTGGAAGACAGTGACTGAGAGAATACACCTTTATGTATTTTCATTCTAATGTTATTCAAATTATTATAGCACCACGAGTCAGAGTTTTTTGACAAAGGACCTTCTAGGTAAGTGGGACCACATTCCTTTATTTTTTATTTAAGTATCATTGATATACAATCTTACATTGGTTTCAAATGTTAACACAGTAGGTCAACAGTTACCCTTATTACTAAATCCTTACCCCAACTAGTGTGGCTCCTATCTGTCATCATAGAAAGATGTTACAGAAACACTGCTACATTTTCTATGCTGTACTACTATCCCTGTGAACAACTTATATTATGCTAGAGAATTTTTGTGCCCCTTTATCCCCCCACCATCAGCCACCCCAACCCCTCCCCCATGTTAACCACTAGTCACTTTTTAGTGTCTATGAGTCTACTGATATTTATTTTGTTTTGTTCTAATATTCCACAAATAAGTTGAAATCATATGGTATTTGTCTTTCTCCACCTGATATATTTCACTTAGCATTAATACCCTCTATGTCCATCCATGTTGTTACAAATGGCAGTATTTTTATGGCTGAATAATATTCCACTGTGTATATGTACCATATCTTCTTTATCCACTTATCTATTAATGGACACTTTGGTTGCTTCCATATCTTGGCTATTGTAAATAGTGCAGTGATAGACACTGGGTTGCATATATCTTTTTTGAACCAGGGATTGTTTTCTTCAGGTAAATTTCTAAAAGATCAACTGTGTCGAGTGGTATTTCTATTTTTAGTTTTCTGAGGACTCTCCTTACTACTTTCCACAATGGTTGAACTAATTTACATTCCCACCAGCAGTGTAGGAGAGCTCCCCATTCTCCACATCCTCGTCAACATTTGCTGTTGTTTGTCTTCTGGGTAGTGGCCACCCTAACTGGTGTGAGGTGATATCTCATTGTGCTTTTGATTTGCATTTCCCTGATGATTAACAATGAGGAGCATCTTTTCATGTGCCTGGATTTCTTCTTTGGAGAAGTGTCTGTTCAGGTCCTCTGCCCATTTTTTTTTCAAGTGTTGAGGCACAGGAGTTCTTTATATATTTTGGACATTAACCCCTTATCAGATGGGGCTATATCATCATTTAAGAATATATTCTCCCATACTGTAGGTTGCCTTTTTGTTCTGTGTCCTTTGCTATACAGATGCTTTTTAGTATGACATAGCCTCACTTGTTTTTTATTTTGTTTCCCTTGCCTGAGGAGATGTGTCCAGGAAAAAATTGCTGATACTTATATTCAAGAGACTTTTGCCTATATTTTCTTCTGAGCTTTATGGTTTCATTTCTTACATTAAGGTCTTTGATTCATTTCTAGTTTAGCATATGGAGTTAGACGTTAATCCAGGTTCATTCTCTTGCATGTAGCTGTCCAGTTTTCCGAACACCAGTTATTGAAGAGGCTGTCTTTTCTGCATTGTATATTCATGGCTCCTTATCATATATTAACTGACCGTATATGCATGGGTTTGTAACTGGGCTCTCTATTTTTTCACTGATCTATGGGTCTGCTCTTGTGTCAGCACCATCCGGTTTTGATTATTGTAGCTTGAAGTCAGGGGCCGTAATCTCCCCCCACCCCAGCTTTGTTGCTCTTCCTCAGAATTGCTTTTGTGGCTCCACATGAATTTTAGAACTATTTGTTCTAGTTCACCGAAAAATGCTGTTGGTAGTTCAATAGGGATTGCATTCAATCTGTAGATTGCTTTAAGCGGGATGGCCATTTTGACAATATTATTTCTTCCTATCCATGAGCACAGGATAGATTTCCATTTATTGGCATCATTAATTTCTCTCATGAGTGTCTTACAGTTTTCAGAGTACAGGTCCTTCGCCTCCTTGGTTAGGCTTATTCCTAAGTATTATACTCTTTTTGATGCAATTATAAATGGAGTTGTTTTCCTCATTTCTTTCTGCTACTTCTTTGTTAGTACATAGGAATGCAACGGATTTGTTTAGTAATTTTGTATCCTGCAACTTTGCTGAATCTAATTATTAGTTCTAACAGTTTTTTGGTGGAGTCCTTAGAATTTTCTATGTATAATATCATGTCATCTGTAAATAAGGACAGTTTAACTTCTTCCTCACTGATCTGGATGCTTTTATCTCTCTGTTTTGTCTGACTGTCATGGTGGCTAGGACCTCCAGTACTATGTTGAATAAAGTGGTGAGAGTGGACATCCTTGTTTTGGTCCTGATTTTAAAAGGAAACATTTCCAGCTTTTCATCATTAAGTAATGTTGGCTGTGGGTTTCATATATGGCCTTTATTATGTTGAGGTATACATACCCTCTATACCCATTTTGTTGAGAGTTTTTATCATGAATGGATGCTGAATTCTGTCAAATGCTTTTTCACCATCTACTGAGAGGATCAAGTGGTTTTTATCCTTCTATTTGTTAATGTGGTATATTATATTGATTGATTTACAAATATTATACCATCCATGCATCCCTGGAATAAATCCTACTTGGTTGTGATAATCTTTTTGACGTATTTCTGAATTCAGTTTGCTAATATTTTGTTGAGTATTTTTGCATCTATGTTCATCAGGGATATTGGTCTATAATTTTCTTTTTTTGTGGTGCCTTTGTCTGGTCTTGGAATTAGAGGAATGCTGTCCTCATGGAATGAGTTTGGAAGTATTCCCTCCTCTTCTATTTTTTGAAATACTGTAAGAGCATGGAAATTAGCTCTTCTTTGAATGTTTGGTAAAATTCAGTTGTGAAGCCATCTGGAAGCAGGACCACATACATACCTTGCAATATATGAACACACTTTAATGATTCTATGATTAGAATTTGTGCTTCCACTTTCAGCTGCTAAAAGTGGTATTAAAAAATCCAAGGTACAGTGGTTAAAAAAAAAAGAGTGTGTGTCTGCACTTGCAAAGCACTGAACAATGCCGACAACAGCAGCAGTTAAAAAAAGAGGGTTGTCCCAGCATAGTCATACCTGGTAACACATGAGTTCTCACAGTGAATACTGGAGAAAATACTGGAAAAAAATCCTCTCATGCTTTTAGCAGGGAAGGGGAAAACAAATCATTCTGAGATCGCCAGCAATGGTCTCTTCTTAACACATTATGCCCTCAATAGAGACTATTTAACCAGAGCATACCTTGGGGGGATTTTAGCAGAGCCTAACTGACCTGGGAGAAGGCAATCTTGTCCCACCAAAGGCGGATTAAAATATCTGAGAAGCACATGGGAAGCTCACAGTCCAGAAGTACAAGCTCTTTAAAAAATGTACCTTGTACTAACAACCTAGAAGTTTTCCCACTAAGATCAGGTATGGGTAACAAGACATATAGGTATGTATGCACTCCCCTTCCCCCACTACTGCTTTTCAACATTATACTGGAAATCCTAGCTAATGCAATAAAGAAAAGGAAGTAAAAGGTATAATGATCGGGAAGGAAGATTCAACAAGAACTCTTTTGTCATTTCCAAGACTCATGATTTAAGTTTTCCAAAAATTGTGGAATCTCAGAAATTTCACAATAGCAATTGTTTCGACAACACCTGAGCCAGAAAAGGATGATGGGAAATCACTAACTCCTCTCCTCCTTTCATTCAGAGGGCCTTGGTCACACGAGTAAGGAAGCAAGAGATGGAAGATGACTTAGCCTTTCACTAACATGGAGTGTCATTGCACAACTAAGGGAGAAGAGAAATGGCAAGAAAAAAAATATTATCCCAGTTTTGATAAAGCAAGGTAAAAAATCAAAATTTAATACACAGCTTAGTAAAATATCTGAAGTTGAATTAGATATGATAATACTAAATCTGAAGAAAATAATAATCATAAAGCAACCTGGTCATTTTTTAGCTTTCTGGTAATAGGGGATATTTTGCTCTTTGACTATAGAAATTCATCCTATTCAAAGAGTCACTAACAGTCTAAAGAACATCTTGATAAATAAGTCTTAATGCTGGTTGTAACTTAACTCCTTGAGTGAAGGTAATTATTAGGGTAGTATCTTTTTAAAATAACCTTTAACTAGGACACACCAGATTAGAAGCATTCAAGTCTAATAAGTGTTGGTAAAGATGGGAGCAATGCAAACTCACACATAGGTAGTGGAACTGTGAATTAGTATAACCTTTATGAAATTAATTTGGTATCATCTAGCCAAGATCAAGATATGTATATCCACAGAAATGCAAGGTGCATCAGGATTTATTAATGTATTCCTAGCAGTAGTGTTCATAACTCTAAAAACTTAAAAAACATATAATCATACAACATGCAATGCATGTCAACAGAGTGGATAGCTGCAGTTCCTTTACATAATGGAATATATACAGCAACTAAAACAAATACTATTACACACAATAGGGATGAATTCAAAACAGATGATACTGAGTAAAATAACTGTACATGAAATACTTATAGGATTCCACTTATATAAAATTAAAAAGCAGGTTAAAACTACTTCAAGAATTCCAACTTGTAGAACAATATGATAATGCCAAGCAAGGATGTGACTAACTTAGAAGTCAGACTGTGTTTACTTGAGGAAGGAAATGATCAGGAAGAGGCTACTGCAGATTTTAGAAAGTTCTTTTATGAAGTGAGTGGTCTTCTCTATAAAAATTCAACTACATGCATTATGTTTACTGCACTTGTCTACATGTGTATATACATATTTCATATTAACAGGAAAAATGTATGTTAATAGCCTTCTTAAATGAAAAACAGGTAAAAATTTATCTTAATGATTAACAATGACTAAAAAGCTCAAGATATTTCAAATGTCAATTTTAGATATATGGAACAAAGAATGGATCTAAAATATCCCAAGGCAGAGGAATATTAGTAAAAAGTACAAAAGCAAATTTACCCCTTTCAAACATCTGTGCCCAAGCACCCAAACCTTTGTGTACCTACACCAAAGATTAAAGGCCACAATATTCTACTATTCTAAATATTATCAATAGTATTTACTACTATAAGTAATATTCTAATCCTGTGGTTTTTACAAACTGGGTTTCACTGAAGCAATGCACCTGTGCAAATACCTCAAGAGCTGTGGGGCAGAAAACAAAGCAAGTGGCATGTGGTTCAGGTTTCCTATCACAACCCTGCTGGCTCCATGTTTACTTGTATTTTATCTATTCCCCAGCCCACAAATATTAAAGTTCCAATAAGAATAGGATGAAGGAAAAGTAGGGTTCCTCTAGTATTCAAAATATATATAATCTGGAACCTCATCAAAACTAAAATCTTTGTTCTGCAAAACCCCTTGTGTTAACAGAATGAAAAGAGACACTATTAATGGGGAAAAGAATATTTGCAAACCATATAACCAACAAAGGACTTATATCTAGAATATATCTAGAACCCTCAAAACTCAACAGTAAAAAAACCCATCCAACCAGAAAATGGACGAAAGACATGAAAAGACATTTCACTGATAATGGGAAATAAGCATATGAAAATATGTTCAACATCATCAGCCATTAGGGAAAATCAAATCAAAACTACAGAGATACCACTACACATCTATCAGAATAGCTAAAATAAAAAATAGTGGTTAACACCAAAATGATGCAAGAATGTGGAAAATGAATGAATCATACATTGCTGGTGGGAATGTAACATAACACAGCTACTCTGGTAAACAGTTTGGCCGATTCCTATAAAATGAAACACACACAAACCTAGAGAAATGAAAACTTATGTTCACATGAAAATCTATACATGAATTTCCCAGCGGCTTTATTCACAAGAGCCCAAAAAATGGAAATTCAGATGACCGTCAAGGAGTAATCGGTTTAAACAAACCATGGTACATCCATACCATGAAACACTACTTAGAAATAGAAAGGAAGTGACTATTAGATACATGCACAATTTCAATGGATCTCAAGGAAATTATACGGGTAAAACAAGCCAGTATCAAAAGGCCACCTTTAAATAACATTCTTGAAATGGCAAAATTACAAAATTAAAAAAACCTGACAGGGGACAGGTTAGTAAATGCCAGGCCCTGGGATGGAAGGGAGGAGAAGAGAGCTGAGTGTGGCTATATAAAAAATGACATACAATGGATCCCTATAGTGATGTAACTGTTCTATATCCTAACTGCAGTGGTAGTTATAGGAACCAATACATGTGATTAAACTGCAAAGAACTAAATATATAGATACACAAATGAGGGCATGTAAAATTGGTAAAATCTGAGTAAGTTGGTAGATTGTGTCAATGTCCTGGTATTGATACTTCACCACAGTTATACAAGATGTTACTATTTGGGGCAACTAAATGAAGAGTATATGCAATCTCTCTGTATTATTATAATCTACTACCAAATAAATTATATGTGAATCTATAATTATCTCAAAATAGAAAGCCTAATTAAAACTACACACTTTAATCTACCATTACACTAATCCATTGATGAATCTGTTTTAAATGGGGGATGGTGCAAAGCTTTTAAATTTTTCCCCAGACATTGAGGAATGTCATTCTTCTTTGGCATTCTAATGAAGACTTTAAGACCCAAAAGGAAGCTGTATGGGCTGTGAGCAATTATACAAGTGACAGAAGGGTTGAACAGATTGTATACCTGCTTCAATGAGGTATAACAGAACTGTTGATGAACCTCCTAAATGCAAAAGATCAAAAATTATTCTGTTATTCTGGATGCCGTATCATACGTCTTTCAGGCTGCTGAGACACTTAATGATGGAAGAACACGGAGTTATGGACAAAACTGAAGGTCTACAAAACCATGAAAATGAGTCTGTGTACAAAGTTTTATTAAATTTGATTGAGAAGTATTTCTCTGTAAAGGAAGAGGAAGATCAAAATGTGCCAGATTCTGCCTCCCTCTGGAGGCTATATATTCCAAGCTCAAGGAGGCCCTCCTGGGACCTTGAACTCTCAGATTGTACAAATGGGGCATAAAGTAGTTCGGTGTTCTAAGTTTGTCTTACTGTTTCTCTACTAAGAATATTTTTTAAATGGGGTTTGTTAATGCATCACTTTATAGTATACGCAAACAGTTACAAACTGTGCATACACTATGAAGCTTCTCCTCTTAGTAGTTTTATTTCTATGTGGAATTTCATATCTTAAAGTGCAATAAAGATTAAATTCCACCCTTTTCTTTACGTCAAAATAATTTTCAGCCAGATATTGACTTGCTTCTTCAGACTGATTTTACAATTACCTCACAACGGATATAATTTTGCTCACCCAAGGTCTTCCTGAGATTCTGAAATACCTTATTAAAAGTGCCCCCGCCCCAAATCAAATCAGTCAAAAAAACTGTTTTTCAATTCTTCTTTATTCCTTAAACCCCTACTATTCAAATTGTGGTTTCTGAACTAACAGCAAAGGTATCAAGTAACAATAGTTAGAAATGTAAAATCTCAACTCCACACTTAGTGCATCAGAATTTGCATTTTATCACAATCCCTAGGTAATTCCTATGCACAAAAAAGGCTTACCACATTTTTATTTTACACTTTGACTTACTTGTTATTTTACCCCATGTCTTAGCCTCAATTTATTAGCCTTTCATCTCAAAATGTTTTATTTATACTTTTGGTACTGAAAAAACAAGACTGAGAAAAAAGCTGAATCACATAAAGGTGTCCTTATTTGTTCAAGGTTACCTAGCTAGTTTAATGACACAGTAATCTCACATTGATCCAAGCATCCCTCACCCAGTCAAGTACTTTGCTCAAGAAAACACACTGCAAACTTGCTCAATCTTGATGCCATATACCTCTAACTCTCAAACTAGTTCCACTACATCTAGGCATTTGAACATGGACAGAGTACAAAACCTAAAGTTAATTACAGTAAGGTACAGATTTCCTATAGTATCATTTCATACATTTTATGTGGTCTTGCTGAAAACTGTGCCACAAATAATACACTGATCACAAAGAGGGCAGAAGAACTATTATCTAGTCACCTCAGATCTTGGTTATAAAAAGCATTATTACTAAGTGTGCGCAAGACAACTGTTTTCAACTTCACCTTCCTCTGCTTACCCTGGAAAATGGAACTTCAGGTCTACATAATAAGATGTTGAGTTGCATAATGTCCTAACAGGTGAGACAAAATGAATCAGCACAAGAAGTGGCTGGTAGGCAATATTTATCCACACCTTATCTAAAAGGAGAGCTGCTCTCTAGGCATTCACCTTGAAATGATAAGCGAGAATTTCTGTAAAGGCCATAAAAAGCAATGAATTTGTAATTTCATTAAAGAGCAATCATATTGACACCAATTTTTTCAAGAGACAGATGCTCACTATAGCAATACAAATTAACAAAAACATCTACCTGAAAGCTACCATTTTTAGAGTTATGCATAGGAACTTCTCATTTCTTCAACAGAAAATAAATGGAATCACTTTTGAATAGTCCATCAAAATAATTTAACTTGCATATTTGATTTTAAAAAAAACAAGACAATATAAACTAAAGTACATTTAGCAAATATATGGAAAATTATATACTTACTTTCTGAATGAATTTCTCAACACTCTGTACCACATGTTTATAGAACTAAAAGAAAAGAAAAATGAAGCATGGTTTTAAAATCTGATTATAATTTTCCTGCTACTGGATTTACAGTAGCAGCTTCAAAGCTCTATAAAAACAATTAATTTTAATGATGAATTGTGAAGCAAACAAACATTCATGTCAGTCACCTTCATAAGCAACTAGTTATCTAAATAATAAAAGGGATTATATTGAATTAGGTATAGAGTCAGTATATCCAAAATGTATTAACACAGATACAAAAGAATTCTGTCAGTCTTTATGAAGGCATACTTCCACAAACAGTTATGGTGAGAGCAAAATACTTGTAATAATCACACTGGCAGATGTATATTCTTCCTTTCATAGAAGGGAAAGATTTATTGTAGTATCATTTTATCAGCTAAATTACAGCAGTACTAGAAAAACCAGTAACTGTCAACAAATAGCATCAATAAAGGTAGGCAAGGAAGTTGTTTTCACTGTCATTGTCTCCTCTGCTCCTCCTGGAAAAGAGAACTGCACATAAGATAGAGATACAAACGTCCTCATGGATCAGACAAAATGAATCGTAAGTGAGATGAGCACAGATTCAGGATTAGTAATGGGCTATTATCAACTATGAGAAAACAGATTTGTTTTATAAACACTATGAATAAACCTGAAAATGGGTAAAATGGAAATTATAGCTTGCACAAAAAGTATCTACAATTTGGGCTTAAAAAATTTAAAACCTTGATGGCAACTGCCTATTAACATATTTCTGTTTAAAGAAGTAAGGTGAACTGTGCTTGTATTTATACTTCTGATCTCATGAATTATATACTTTTAATGGACATTCCCTTTGAAAAGACACAAGAACATTCAAGTGAACAGCACCATGAAATCCAATATTTATGTAAACAAAAAATGAAAGGAAATCTCATTATTCGTATTTGCCAAATCAAATCTGCAATTAAGTCTGTCTAGAATTTCCTTATTATAAAGTAACTTCATTCAACAGTTTAAGTTACTTAAGGTTAAAAAAAAATTTTTTTAGTTATTAAGTACTTTACAGGTACTTAAATATTTAAAATCAATATACAAAATATTAAATACTTAGAGTGGTTTTTATTAAACTATTCTGCTGATAAACAATTTGGCAGTGCTTCCTATTTTTAAGTTATTTTAGATACCATATGTAATTCAGAATAATGCCACTTGCTAAAATTTAATTCAAAGTTTCATATACATTCTTCCACAATATATTATCTGTGAGCTTTTGCTGACATTGTACAATGTGAACAAGCAACCATTAAAATAACCATTTCTCTAAACACTTATTAAAAAAATACTAACATCTCAATAACAGAGTATCATTCAAATCTGATTTAAAAGGCAGTTCAAATTCTCTACATATGTACTAAATGTATTTAAAATAATACAGTACTGCAAAACATTTGGTCTGAACTCTTCAAAAATGTCAATGACATGAAAAACAAAATAAAATAATTAACAAGGCAAATAAATGTAATGTGTGATCTTGCCTGAATCTTGAAAAGCAGGGATACAGGGGACAAGTACTAACGTCAATACTGAGACAACTGGTAAATTTAAGTAGGTATATTAGATAATGGTACTATATCACAGTGAAATTTCTTGCATGTGATCACTGTACTGTGGTTACTTAGGAAACATCTTTGTTCTTAGGAGATTCAAATTCAAGTACTGAAGGATTAAATACTATTATGACTGAAATGTGAAACTAACTCTCAAATGAAAAAGCACCTGTGTGCGTATGCAGAAGCTAGCCAAAAGTAGCAAAATGTTAACTGGCAAATCTAAGGATAGACTATGTGTTGCTCATTATAATATTCTGCAATACGAATTTTTTCAAAATTAAAAAATTTAAAACAATAACTCAAAACAGAATATTCATTCTACTTGTATTTATTCTGTTTATTTCAAATTACTCAATTTCTCTTAGGCCCTTCAACATCTGAAAAGTGGAAATAATGTTAACACTTGTACCTTATGGAATCTTCTCCATGCATCAATTGCTAATTTTCACAGAATAAAAATGGTAAAAATATATGTTTGCACTCTCTTAGGATCATGATAAAAATCTGATCATGATGTAGAACAGTATAAAGCAAGCACAAGATTATCATGTATATAAATGTTCAATCACTGTGTTGTACACCTGAAACTAATGTAATACTGTGTGTCAACTACCCTTCAATAAAATTTTATCTAAAAAAAAAAAAAAAGCAAGCACAAGAGACTTAACATTCCATACTAAGCCGATCAGATATCCTGAAAAATCACTTCTTCAAAGAAATTTTCTCGCTTAAACATGTGTACAGGCCACTGTCTTTATCCCCTCTTAGATTTTCTGCATATAAATACAGGGGTTATAACTACAATGCTGTAAGATACAAATACAAATCTGAAAACTAGGCTTTGGCTATGAGAACACTGAAAAATCAACTAGCAACCTGCATTCTCTCCTAGTGGCAATTAGCTCCCAAGAGCAATTTGTTAAATATAATGCATAATGCGGTTATTCAAAGACTATTTATTTGAATAATTGGTGTTTCTGGTTATGGCTGATGTTCTTATTCAGAATAGAAAAATGTTTCACCATATATCCATAGACTAATACCTATGTAGTTAAAAATAAGCAGTTAGTTTTAATATCCTACTAACGAGGGAGTCTTAGCTTTAGGGATAAACACCTCTTGAACAGATGTCTGTGATTAAACTTCAAAAGGTCCTTAAAGCCAAGAAATTTTATGCAAAACTTTATGCATATGGGTATTTCTTTAGAGAAAGGCCAACCTATTCTGAGATTTTCAGAAGTGTCCATGAGTCAACATGTGTTCAAAAGCGCTATTATCAGAGCAGGGGCTAAATGCCCATACCTCTTCCCCATAGTTCAAATGTCCTATGTACAATGAGGCTCAATTATTTTCCATAATGGCCCCTTTTCAAATCTACAATAGAATTAGTTAAAAAAAAAATAGTCTAATTTTTATTTAGAAATATTTTACCAAATCGTATTTCAAGATTCTGTGAAGAGAGCATGACAAGTGACAGTGTTAAACACATTCTTCACAATGTAGCTGTCTAAAATCTTACCTGCCTAAGAAAATTAAGGTAAAATGATTGTTTCAAAGTTTACGGAAGAATACTTATCAAAATGTTAAGTGTTTTTATCTCTAGGTAGAAGATAGAAGAGTTTACAGATGATAGATTTTCATTTTTGTGTTTTTCTCCATGAACATTTACTCTGTAAAGAGGAAGAAAATATACAATCTTTAAAGATTATACCTCCTCTAAAATCTTAGTGCAGTATTTCCTTTTGAAAACACAAGAGTAAAATTTATTACTCACCTTAATAGCTTTGATGGCTGCCTTAGTAATTTGGGTCATTTTTGCTTTAGAAATAGGTGGTTTGTAGTCATTCAGGGAATACAACTGATGAAAAAGAACAACAAATTTTAAATACACCTAACCTAATTACCACTAAGCAATTACATGAAATTACCAAACATTTCCATTTTTGTATTCTCAATGAAATCTCAGTGCTGCTTTTCTTCTAAAAACCAAGTTCAACTCATTAGCCTTCAGAGAAATGCAAATCAAAAGTGAGGTATCACCTTACACTTACTTAGTTACTTTATTATGAGAAAATAACAAGTGTTAGCAAGGATACAGAGAAACTGGAATCCTTGTACACTGCTAGTGGGAATGTAAAATGGTGCAGCATCTTTGGAAAATAGTTGACAGTTTCTCAAAAAATGAACCATAATAATATGAAATACTACACATCAATTCCACTTGAGGTATATACTTGAGAGTTGAAAATCAATGTCCATATAAAAACTTGTACATAGGTGGTCAATGCAACATTTCCATAAAAAACTTGTTATGAAAGTGGAAACAACCCAGTGTCCATCAACTGATAACAAACAAAATGAGTTCTAGTCATTCAGTGAAATATTAGCCATGAAAAAGGAACAAAGTACTGACACATGCTACAAAATAGACGAACTTTGAGAACATTATGCTCAGTTAAAAAAAGGCATATTAAAAACATCATGTATTACAGCATCCCATTTACATGAAATGTCCAGAAAGGGTAAATTTATTAGTTAACTGTCTACAACTGGAAAAGTTGGGGAGAAATGAGGAGTGACCCATAATGAGTACAGCATTTCTTTCTGGGGTAATGAAAATAACTTAAACTTGCCTTTTGTAATGGCTGTATAACCAGACTAAATACCATTGAATTAAACATTTTAAATTGGTTAATTGTATGACATGTTAATTAAATCTCAAAACTTTTTAGAAAATAAGGGCACTAATGTTTAGCAATAATCCACCCTCTCCCAAAAAATGTTTTGTTTTCAAATTTCTCATATAAGCAAAGGACAGTAATGCTGCTTAGGAAAAAAAAAAGTTAACAAGGTGGGAGAATAAGGCTCAATTACAACTAAGTTTAAATGAACACTGATTAAAACTTGCACTGTATTCAGCAACGCTATGATTTTAACTGTAACACTATAAGGTAGCAACTACAAGTCTGGAAACTAAGCTTTGGCCATTAGGACATTGCAGAAACAACTTAACCCTTAAAAGCAACCTAAACAGAATTAGCTGGTTAATCAACTAGGAATGTCAAGAGGCCTCTATAGCTTTTGCTCCAGTACCCCTTAAACCTATCCATCACTGGATTCTATAGATTTTTACCCCCATTTTCTCCATATTTGTCTCCTCCTTCAACACCACCACAGCCTAAATTACCTTCATCTCTCATAGAGCAAGTATCTAACAGGATATGGCATGTCTGTCTTTTCAAAAACTAATCTGATAAGGTGACTAATACCCACCTTCTCCCTTTACCCCCTTAAAAAGGTCAAGGACTTCCCACTCAGGTTAAACACAAAAAGCTATATATCCAAGGCTCTGCCTGGTCTAACTCCCATATACCTCTCCAGTCTCATTTTGTCCCATGCTCCCCTCCGCAGTTCTCTGCTCCAGGCACCAATGGTCTTTTTCCATTCCCTGACACAGTGCCTTTAAAATGGGCTTGTTTCTTCTACGTGGAATAAACTTCACTAGGGCCTCTGCTAGTTTATGCATACACTTCCATCTTAGTTAAAGCATCACCTAATGAGGAAAGCCTTCCACACCTCCCCAACCAGATCAGTATCTCCCTTTATGCTCTCATTGTACTGTCGATTACCTTTGAAACGTTGATCACAGTAATCTGACATTCACTTCTATAATTATCTAATAATTTTTAAAAGGCCTGTCACAAAGGGTGACAAAAGAAAAAGGATATAAGTTCCTTCAACTCAATTTAAGCTAATAGGGGTTAATGATACATCAAGAGCTGTCTAAACTGAAATTGATTCTGGGAGAAGTTCCCTGTCAGTTCCCCTAATAGGTGCTCACCTATTGATACTGCCGACCCATGGTTAGGGTTCCATCAGATCCTTGAAGAAGCTATCTCTGTCAAACTCACAGGGAATTTTAATATTCTCAGGCCTCAATTCCTACTGTATGCCTATTCACCAGATGCATTATAATGTCCACACATTTTATAGTACTTATAGCAACCTGTGTAAATCACAGATCAATTTCCTAGAATTTCTTAACAGGCCCAGACTCCTGCCCATCTGAGATCCACCTTGCTCTCTCCTACAAGAGATAAACTCTAAGAACAGGAACTCTGTCTTTTTTGTTTAGATTTTTTTCCTTTTCTCAAACTGTATTCCTAGTGTCTGGCAAAGAACAGTTATAAATTAAGAATAAATTAAAATAAACAAATCCATACAAGACAGAGCACTGCACAAGCTTTGCATAGACCTGGATTTGAATTCTAACTGTGTCACCTTATTCCAAGCTGCTAACCAATCCTCTGAATTTTAGTTTCCTCATTTACAGAATAGGAAACATCACATATAAAGCTTTAGAACACATTTATGTCACTCTACAGGATTAGCCATTATTAAAATGAAAATCCTTCTTTTTGGTAGGCGTTCTCTATTTAAATAAATAATTAAAGAACCCATCAAACATGTATGCTCCTGGCTATCTGAAGATCCATTCTACATAAATTTATATAACTAGCGCAATGAAGATGCATCAAGGTCCTCCCATAGTTGACAATACATTATTTCTTCTTCTTAAGTGGTAAATCCCTCAAGTTCTAACAGACCAAAGCTTTCCTCTCTTTTTGGTGGAGAGAGTAAAAAATGGGGGAGAAGGCGTAATGAGAAAGAGGAAATGTAGAATTGTTAAGATTTTTTAAAATTTTGTATTAAGGTATTATTGATAAACACTTATGAAGATTTCATATGAAAAAACAATGTGGTTACTACATTTACCCATATTATCAAGTTCCCACCCATACCCCAATGCAGTCACTGTCTATCAGTGTAGTAAGATGGCACATATTCACTATTTGCCTTCTCTGTGCTACACTGTTTTCCCCGTGACCCCCCACACCATGTGTACTAAACATAATACCTCTCAATCCCCTTCTCTCTCCCTCCCCACCCTCACACACCCCTCCCCTTTGGTAACCACTAGTTCCTTCTTGGAGTCTCTGAGTCTGCTGCTATTTTGTTCCTTCAGTTTTGCTTTGTTGTTACACTCCACAAATGAGGGAAATCATGTGGCATTTGTTTTTCTCCGCCTGGCTTATTTCACTGAGCATAATGTCCTCCAGCTCCATCCATGTTGTGGTAGGATTTGTTTCTTTCTTATGGCTGAATAATATTCCATTGTGTATATGTACCACCGCTTCTTTATCCATTCATCTACTGATGGACACTTAGGTTGATTCCGTATCTTGCCTACTGTAAAAAGTGCTGCGATAAACATAGGGATGCATATGTCTTTTTTAATCTGAGAAGTTGTGTTCTTTGGGTAAATTCCAAGGAGTGGGATTCCCGGATCAAATGGTATTTCTATTTTTAGTTTTTTGAGGAACCTCCATATTGCTTTCCACAGTGGTTGAACTAGCTTACATTCCCGCCAGCAGCGTAGGAGGGTTCCCCTTTCTCCGCATCCTCACCAGCATTTGTTGTTCTTAGTCTTTTCAATGCTAGCCATCCTTACTGGTGTGAGGTGATACCTCATTGTAGTTTTAATTTGGATTTCCCTGATGATTAGTGATGTGGAGCATCTTTTCATGTGTCGGTTGGCCATCTGTATTTCTTCTTTGGAGAACTGTCTCTTCATATCCTCTCCCTATTTGTTAATAGGGTTATTTGCTTTTTGGGTGTGGAGGCGTGTAAGTTCTTTATATATTTTGGACGTTAACCCCTTGTCGGATATGTCATTTAAAATATATTCTCCCATACTGTAGGATGCCTTTTTGTTCTGTTGATGGTGTCCTTTGCCATATAGAAACTTCTTAGTTTGATGTAGTCCCATGAGTTCATATTTGCTTTTGTTTCCCTTGCTCAATGAGATGCACTCAGGAAGAAGTTGCTCATTTTCATATTCAGGAGATGTTTGCCTATGTTGTCTTCTAAGAGTTTTATGGTTTCATGACTTATATTCAGGTCATTGATCCATTTCGAGTTTATTTTTGTGTATGGGGTTAAACAATAATCCAGTTTCATTCTCCTGCATGTAGCTGTCCAGTTTTGCTAACCCCAGCTGTTGAAGAGGCTGTCATTTCCCTATTGTATGTCCATGGCTCCTTTATCATATATTAATTGACCATATATGGTTAGGTTTATATCCGGGCTCTCTAGTCTGTTCCATTGGTCTACGGGTCTGTTCTTGTGCCAGTACCAAATTGTCTTGATTACTGCGGCTTTGTAGTAGAGTTTGAAGTTGGGGAGCATAATCCCCACAGCTTTATTCTTCCTTCTCAGGATTGCTTTGGCTGTTTGGAGTCTTTTGTGGTTCCATATTAATTTTAGAACGATTTTCTCTAGTTCGTTGAATGCTGTTGGTATTTTGATAGAAATTGCATTGAATCTGTAGATTGCTTTAGGCGGACGGCCATTTTGACAATATTAATTCTTCCTTTCCATGAGCAAGGATGTGTTTCCATTAATTGGTATCTTCTTTAATTTCTCTCATGAGTGTCTTGTAATTAATTGTCAGAGTATATAGGTCTTTCACTTCCTTGGTTAGGTATTTTATTCTTTTTGATGCAACTGTGAATGGAATTTTTTTCTGATTTCTCTCTGCTAGTTCATTGTTAGTGTATAGGAATGCCAGATTTCTGCATATTAATTTTGTATCCTGCAACTTTGCTGAATTCATGTATTAGATCTAGTAGTTTTGGAGTGGATTCTTTTGGGTTTTTTATGTACAATATCATGTCATCTGCAAACAGGGGAGGCTTAATTTCTTCCTTGCCAACCTGGATGCCTTTTATTTCTTTGTGTTTTCTGACTGCCGTGGCGAGGACCTCCAGTACTATATTGAATAGAAGTGGGGAGAGT